AAGTTGGTACTGACTCAGTGGCACCTAACAACAACAACAGCACCATATCTGACTTGGGAGTCCTGGTGTGGTGCTGTGGGTTAATGCACTGAACTGCAAAGTTAATTTGAACCACAAAGTCAGCAGTTCAAGCTTACCAGCTGTTCCTTGGAAACCAGGGTCGCTTTGGGTTGGAACTGACTCAATGGCACTTAAGAACACCAAACCTATCTAGATTAAGTTCTGGGTGGGGGTGTCATGCATGTTAATCTTAGCTTATTGTCTACCGTTACTGGTTCTCAGTCCAAAGAACACCTTTAGTAGTTTTTGTAAAGTTGGTCTTGTTATCACAGGTCCCTTGTGTGTGTTTATCTGGAAATGTTCCAATTTCACCATCGTATTTGAGGTATAACTTTGCTGGGTATATGGTTCTTGGTTGGCAATCTTTTCCTTTCAGAGTTGTGTGTATGTCATCTCATTGTCTTCTTCCCTGCATGGTTTCTGCTGAGAAATCAGAGCTTAATCTTTTTTTTTTTTTTTTTAAGTTTTTATTGTGAATTATGTGTTAGTTTACATAGGTGAACTTTATCTTTACATTCATCCTATCATACTTTCATTGCAATCATCACAATCCCCTGCATGCATCATCAAACATCCAAAGGGTACACCCCGCATGCCTGGCCTCCCCCGGCCGCCAGTGCACAACCCCTCTCCCTCCCTGAGTCCAGAGTCCCCAGCCACTCATTCTGTCCCCATCATTGCCTTTGCCTACAACCCTAGTGTCACTGCCTCTCCGGACATGGTCTTGCACTTCGCTTTTCTCCCTTGATGGTTCCAGGGATCTCCACTCCTGGACTGCAGAATCAGCCCCTCCCCTCCTTTTGTTACCAAACATTTACATTTACCTTTCCAGCACTCACTGTCAGACCTGATAGCAGTTATTCCCTAGTGAACCACAGGAGTCCTTTCCACCTCACCTTTTATCAACCCCATCCAGACAGGGTGGAAACAACTCAGTGGAGGTTCTGCCTTTCACTGTATCCTGTGGAGCTAGGTTCCCTATTGAAAGCTTGTAAGTCAGTCACTTCTTGCCTTTGTAGTCCC